TTGCCTCCATCTTGGGACACTTCTGCCGCCATCTTGGGTTACCTCCACTGTCACCATTGCCATTTTTAATTGGGGCAGCTTCCATCTTGGGACACCAGCTGGGGCCCAGAAGCCCAACATCAAGACACCTACAAGTTTGTCATAGCCACCAGCTAGAGACACAGCCACTTCCATCTAGGGACAACACCCAAGGCATGGATGACCACCACAAAGGTCTTACAGCCTTGGTTACATGTGAGATCTCTATGCTAGGTGTGCTAATAGCCACTATCTTGCTGCAGAGTCAGGAGAGAATTTGGCACAGGGTTTCTAGGTTGAAAGAGATTGTGAGGACATCTTAATCCGGGCTCACCCACCCAACCAGCCCAGCACCCACAGGGTCCTCAAGGCCAACTCTAGCAGCACTTGCTGGGACCCAACACCAGCCCAGTCCCCAGTCCCTCCCCAATCCAGCATCCACTGATCACCTGGTCCTACTGGTTTGGCTATCAACAGGGCCCTCTGGCTCTCCAAACCCCAGTCTTCCAGCACTATAGCCACCAACCTGGCTCAGCACTTGCATCTACATCGCTGGCCTGCTGCTCTCAGTGCCTGGTCCTCATCTGCACAATACACAACAGCTCTCTAGAACAGGCACACTGATCATGGTGCTCAGCCCTGAGGACCTCCAGAGAGAGAGATTCCAGATTAGGAAGTCAAAAGCATCGGTGTGAGAGACATACAGTTTATAAACTAAGTTACAGACCAGGAATTGAGGGGTCCACAAGTTAAGATCAGGCTCCTACAACACACAAGAGGACCCCGAAGGAGATTCCTGGGCTTCAGTATTCCAACAGGGACGAGCAATTGCTATGCCCTATCTCCAGGAGTTCCACATCCAAGACTAACCCTCCCAACCATAGTAACCTTCATTTCAAGAAAGAGAGATTCTGAAAGAAATCCAAACAGAAATGCTCAAAATGAAGGAAACAATAAAACAAATTGAAAATTCAATAGAAATCATCACCAAAAACAATTCTGGAAACAGAACCTCAGGCAATAAGGACATAATATATAATCTTGAAAATAAACTTGACCACACAGTGAAGATGGTAAGATATCATGATCAGAACATCTAAGAATTATAGGATAACACAAAAAGACCAAATTTAAGATTTATTGGAATGAAGAAAGGCAGAGAGATACAAACCAAGGAAATATACTATTTTTTCAATGAAATAATACCAGAAAATTTCCCAAACCTGTAGAATGAAATGGAAAACCAAATACAAGAGGCTTACATGACACCAAATGTACAAAATTATAACATGGCTATTAATTTTGTCTTTCTGAGCAGTTTATCTCTGACTTTAAAATTTCCTCATAAAAATTGTGAATTATCTCTCTTTCAAGGAGACAACCCATGAACTGTCTTTTAAATGTAAGGAGTATTTTTCTCATGGAGTTTGGTTCTGCTAGAGGCATTTAGCTCTACCACCTAAAATTATCTCCATTCCCCACCCCACCCACCCACAAGTATATATCCTCACAGACTCACACTAAAGAAATCCTCCAACTCTTAAAAAATTTCCTTCCCAAGGCAAAATTGGGAAGTAATTAAAATTACTCTTTGATGCTTTGGGATTATTTATGTGTCAAAAATCTCATGTAATGCTTGCCATATAAATTAGATATTTTACAAATAATGAAGTGAAGAACAAACATTTTTGTTGTCACATGATCAATAAATGTAAAGTTGGAATTTAAAAAAAAAACAAAATTATAACAGATCCACACCCAGGCACATTATAATAAAAATACTTAGCATACAGAATAAGGAGAGAAATTTATAATAAAAATACCTAGCATACAAAATAAGAAGAGAATTTTTAAGGCCATAAAAGAAAAGTACCTTCTATTGTACACATATAGAAGGAAACCAATTTGGATCTCAGTAAATTTCTCAACCCAGACCCTCAGAGCTAGGAAATCCTGGAACAATATATGCCAAGCTCTGAAAGAAAATGGATACCACCCAAGAATCTTACATCCAGCAAAACTAAGCTTCAGATTTGATGATGAAACAAAAACCTTCCATGATCAACAAAAGTTAAAATAATTTACAACTAGAAAGCCTGCACTACAGAATATTCTCAGCAAAATATTCCATGAGGAGGAATGAAAATCAGCAAAAGGTGGAACAATATTGGAAAAGTCAATCAAAGGAAAAACCAAGTCACCTTAAAAAAACAAAAATAAACCAAAATGAATACAAATCATAGATCAATAATAACCCTGAATGTTAATTGCCTAAACTCATTAATCAAAAGACATAGTCTGGCAGATTGGGTTTCTTAAATAGACCCAACAATATGCTGCCTTCAAGAGACTCATCTCATAGGAAAAGATATCCACAGACTGAAGGTGAAAGGATGGGAAAAAACATATCACTCACATGGACTGTGTAAACTAGCAGGGGTTTCCATCCTCATGTCAGATAAAGTGGACTTCCAGCCATAGTTCATCAGAAGAGATAAATAAGGACATTTCACTCTACTTGAAGGAACCATACATCAACAAAACATAAGAATCATAAATATGTATACCTCAAGCAATGGAGCATCTATGTACATTGAACAAACCCTTCTCAATTTCTAGAATCAAATAGACCATAACAGAATAATACTGGATGACTTCAACACACCTCTCTCGCCACTACATAGATTCTCCAAACAAAAACTAAACAAAGAAACTACAGAAATCATCCATCAATAAGAAAATGCACTTTATTCTCAGCAACACATGGATCATTATCTAAAACAGAACATATGTTATGCCACAAAGCATATCTTAGCAAATACAAAAAAACAGAGATACTATCCTGCATTGTATAAAATTTCATAATGGAATGAAATTTGAAATCAATGATAAAATAAAAAATAGAAGCTACTCCAACACTTGGAGACTAAATAATACACTACTGAATAACAAATGGATAGCAGAAGACATCATGAAGGAGATTAAAAAAAAACAACTCTTAGAAGTAAATGAGAACAATGATACAACATGTGAAAATCTCTGGGATTTATGAAGGCAGTGCTAAAAGGTAAATCCATTGCATTGAGCTCATTCATTAAAGAATAAAAGTCAACAAACAAATGACCTGACATTACATCTCAAAGCCCTAGAAAAAGAACAAATCAACACAAAAAGTAGTAGAAGACAGGAAATAATTGAAATCAGAGCTGAAATCAATAAAACTGAAATAAAAGAAACAATTCAAAAAGTGGACAAAACAAAAAATTGGTTCTTTGAAAAAATAAATAAAATTGATAAACCATGAGCCATGCTAGTGAAGAAGAGAGAGAAAACTGAAATTACTTAAATTCATGAGGAAAAAGAAAATATGAAAAAGAAATATCATGATATGAGGATTGAAATACAGAAGATAAATTAGAAACTATTTTGAAAATTTACACTCCAGGAAAATAGAAAATATCAAAGATATCAACAAATTCGTAGAGACATATGGTATGGACAAACTGAGTCAGGAAATACACAATTTAAACAAATCAATTTCAAGCAATGAAACAGAAGATGCCATCAAAAGCCTGCCAACCAAGAAAAACACAGGAACAGACAAATACACTGCTGAGTTTCTGCACGACCTTCAAAGAAGAATTAATTCCAATACTCCTCAAATTACTCTATGAAATAGGAAAGAAGGGACCCCTTCCAAACTCATTCTATTAAGCTAATATCACCCTGATACCAAAACCAGACAAAGTCACGTCAAGGAAAGAACTCTTCAGACCAATAGCCCTAATGAACATAGATGCAATAATTCTCAAGAATTCTGGCTAATTACATACAAAACACATTTAAAAAATAGTGCACCATGATCAAGTGGGGTTCATTCCAGGGATGCAAAGTTGGTTCAACATACAGAAATCAATAAATGTAATTTATCACATCAACAGACAAGAATCATACGATCATCTCAATAGATGTAGACACACATTTGACAACTACAGCACCTCTTTGTGTTCAAAACAGTAGAAAAACTAGGGGTAACAGGAATGTATCGCAACACTGTAAAAGCTATTTATGCTAAGTCCAAGGCCAACATCATTCTGAAGGGGAAAAAAATTTTTTAAATTCCCTCTAAAAACTGGAACAAGACAGGGATGCCCTCTTTCACCACTTCTATTCAACATAGTCCTTGAAACTCTAGACAGAGCATATAGACAGAAGAAGAAATTAAAGGGATATGAATAGGAAAAGAAGCACTCAAACTATCACTATTTGCCAACAACATGATTCCCAATTTACAGGATCTAAGAAACTCTAACAGATAACTCCCAGAACTAATAAATGAATTCAGCAAAATAGCAGATGCCCTTAAACAGATGAATGGATAAAGAAACTGTGGTATATATACACAATGGAATATTACTCAGCATTAAAAGGGAATACAATTATGGCATTTGTAGGTAAATGGATGGAGTTGGAGAATATCATGCTAAGTGAAGTAAGCCAATCCCAAAAAACCAAAGGTCCAGTGTTTTTCCTGATATGTGGATGCTGATTCCTAATGGGGGTTGGGGGAATATGGGAGGAACTTTAGATAGGGCAAAGGGGAGAGAGGGGAAGGGAGGAGTCATCGGGGTGGGAAATATGGTGTAATAAGATGGACATCATTACCATAAGTACATGTATGAAGACACCAATGGTGTGACTCTACTTTGCGTACAGCCAGGTAAATGAAAAATTGTCTCTATATGTGTACTATGAGTTGAAATTCATTCTGATGTCATGTATAACAAATTAGGATAAATAAATAAATTTTTAAGATAACAAAATTAGCCTGTGATACAACCAAAAAATTACATTGAAAGCTGGAGCGCTGACGTACTTATAAATACATAGCCAAAAAGCTACTCTTGGCTATAAATAAAATCCTAAAAAGGAACAAGAAACGTGGGGTAAGTAAGAAAAGAATGGCAAGACAGCAGACTTAATCCATACCCCAAATTATATTGCTTTAATGTGACACAAATCACATGCAAATGGTGAAAACAATCACTTAAAAAATCAGATTGTCATATAGAATAAAAAGGTAAAATACAACTATCTGCAGTCTACAGAAAAACACTTTAAGAACAAAGACAGCAGTACGATGAATCTGACATGACTTTCCCATCTATATATATGTGATTAAATGACCAATGTAACCCCACATCGTATACAACCACACTAATGGGATCCTAAGTGGAAAACCACACAAAATACATTTGGGGAATCAAAGAGAAAGCCAGTGACTAAAATACCCATAAAATACAGCAAACATTTGATAATTACACAGTATATTTTTAAATAACCAATAAATCAAAAAAAACGAAACACATTTACTATTCAGTTTCACAGTTCCACTTCTCAGGATTTACTTGAGATAAGGAAAACCAAGGGCGCCCAAAGACTCTGCGTAAATGTTCAGAGCAGCTTCATTCCTGATGGCCCAGCATTATAAATCACCAAAGTTTGTGATTCCTTTAATCCGTAAGTATTAGTATATGGGAAGGAACTATTGATAAATGGAACATGGATGAGTCTCAACACACATTGTGTCAAGTGAAGAACACAAACATTCCATTCCATTTATATCAAATTATCAGACTGGTAAAACAAAAAGAAGTAGAATGTAGATCAACACAAACTCATGCTGGTATTAACAAGGAGAAATCACAGACTTTGGGGAACTGAAAAGTTTCTGTGAACTCTGGGAAGATGGGAAAGTAGTTACATGGGTGTAGATATTAGTATAATTCGTTGAACTATAGGAACCCCTTCTTGTATTCAAATTATACTTTAAGTTTATTTTATTCAAGTTTATTTGTTTGTTAGCAACACTAATAAGATTTTATAAGGAGGGTGCTCAGGACAACAGATATAGGTCAGTTCTCAAGATTCAGAAAATTTCTCATGGTAAGCAGGTGTTGAAATGGATCTTGAAGCAGGGAAAAGAGACATGATATGGGTGCCCATGAGATAGGACCAGTCAGCAGTGCTTATTTATCACAAAGAATATTTTGTCCAAAGACAAGTTAACTTTTTAAATCACCTGTCACATAAAATTCTAGATTTCCAGTTTTCAGGAGAAACATAGGCTGCAATCAGGCCAGAGTTTGACTGGGCACTTGACAGCTGGCCACTGCAGCTACCACCTTTGCAAAGGACACGTTTTCCCAGCTCAGGACAGACCCTGTCACTCCATGGCCAACAAGGGCACTGCTACCCCAGCCCTTACCTGCTCATTGCCAGCAGGTCATCAGAGGAGTTGGGGCTCCTGTTTCTACAGAATCACTTGGGCTTAAAAACTTGTCATACAAGGGAAAGGACTCGAACTCTTTAGATAAACATTGAAAGGATGTGGATGACCCTTTTCTTTGTTACTTCTCCAGGTTAACTATCCATTCATCCTCCATTCCTAAGCAGGCAAAGACTGCAGTTCTGGGGACTTGAGGTCTTGGGCTCCAGACAGGCAGGTGACCAGAAGACTCACAAGATGTCTTCATAGGAGCTGTGAGGGAAGAGAAAGGGAGACACCATTCAGGAAACAGGAACAGGGGATGGAGGAGAGAGGAGGAGGGAAGGAGCAGATGGAAGGGGAGACTCACCGGTGTCTCCTGATCCAATAGAAGCCTAGAATGAGCACAAAGAGCAGCACCAGGCAAGCCAGTACCACCAGGATGACCAAGCCCACAGAGGTGTGGCTCCCACCTGCAGGGGACACAGGATGTGTGTCAGCCCAGGACACTACCCTGTATCAAGTTCCCTGGTCTAGCACATGTGAGGGGCCAGGCGCTGCCTTTTCCCTCCCCCTATTTAGAGCATCAATTTCTATTCCTCAGAAGTTTAGACTCCCCACCTTTCACAGGGTCTAGGCACCTCTACTACAGTTCGTTTCACTATATAATAACGTAGCGTACAGGTGAAGCTGTGTAGTCAGGCAGCCCTGAATCGATATCCAGCTCTTCCACCTTCTGTGAGACTCTGGGTAGGTAACCTATCTCAGCCTCAATTTGTAAAATAGAATAACAATAAGTGCTTCAAAGGAGAGTGGTGATGCTCAGGTAAAGCACTGGATGCAGAGTGGACAGGCCCCCATGCAAGAAGCACTCAGTATACCACAGGTCTCCTTGTTAACCTGCTTTTCATAAGTCCCTGATCCCCATTCTGCTGGGAAATGAATCTTCCCAGATTCTGTTTTCATTTTATATGCAGTGCTGCTGGTTGAATCCTAGAATCTGGGGCAAACCACTGAGCTGCTTCCCTAGCTTTTACTTTTTGAGACAACGTCTCCCTAATTTGGCTAGGCTGGCCACCTACTTGGAATTCTCCTGCATCAGCCTCCCCAGCAGCTGGGAATACAGATGAGTGCTGTCATGCCCAGCTTCCAGGGATTCATTATTTGCCAACAACTTCCAGATATCTGAGATTATCAGTCCCATTTCATCTTGCATTTAATACATCAAATGTCAGTCCCATTTTAGTTTCCAAACTCTATTTTCCTCCTTTCTGTATTTGGAATCTCATACTCAGGCCGTGCTGTGTGCCAACCAACCTTTCCGGGTCCTTCCCTCTATGCCTCTATGCTTCAGAACCACCTGTGTCCATTTCCAACACAGCCCCAGCCCTTTCTCACCCCAGTAGAGGACGAGGTCCTGCCCTCCTAGGCTGCTGTGCTTCACCCTGCAGGCCAGGCCAGCCTCCTCCCCAGCTGCCACATCCAGGGTTGCTCGGAGATACCACGTCTCATCACCATTGGGCAGGAAGTCACCTCTCTGAGTGCCCAGCTGCTCCTGTTCCCCTCGCATCCACATCACCCACACGGGCTTTGGGTAGAAGCCAGACACTTGGCACACCAGCAGCAGACGGCCAGACCCGGGACTGGGGCCACTGGACAGCCAGGCCTTGGGCTTCACTGTATCCAACAAGGGATAAGGAAACCATAAGGTGAGAACTCTGCATCAGAGGTCCCAGGCCTCCTCCAAGGTTCATGCTCCCCAAAGGTCCACTTCTGGAGGTGGAGTCTCCAGGTAGCTTTGATCCCTTTGTGTCACCTTGCCCAGGAGACCCATCCCTCATCTCCTTCCCCTCCCCTGATCCCAGTGCCCTATAAATGCCTCACCTCCCTACTCTAACACCCTGAGCTCAGCTGGAGCACACAGCATGTCTCAAACATTGTCTGAATCAATTCTGACCCACAGACTTGGTTTAATTCAACTCATGGAACCCAGCAGGTACTCAGTGACACTGGGTGATATGAACAAATACCCTCATGCCTTATCCATCCCCTATGTCTTGATCTTTGTCTGATGCTTAAAGGAAAGCAAACCCTGGGATGGCAAATCCTACTTGAAGCTTAAAAGTAGGATAGATGGAGAGGACAGAAGGCTGACCTTGCTTCTCCAGTTCTGACTTCCCTGTCTCTAGGAGGCCATTCAGAAATTTGGGGCAGATGTCATTGAGGAGCCACTGCACTGTTTCCTTTGTTCCTTCGTCCTGGTTGAGCACTTTGATGACCAAATCTACCCACTTAGGGGCCTTTGGGGCAGGCTCCCAAGCAGTTCCCTGGAAACTCAGGATATATTCTCCTTGATATGCTACATGGAGAAAGTGTTCTGAGACGTTCCCAGGGTGCACCTCACAGCCACCAGACAGCTGCAGCTCCATGGGATCTGTGGAGAGAAACGTGCAAAACTCAAATGAGCTTTAAAGGACTGAAAGGGAAGAAGGACAAGAGACTGGTACTGGGGTTACACGGGGGACCCACAGTGGAAGGAAATGAGAGTGGGTGGCCTGATGCCTGAAACTGGGGCCCGGCCAGGCAGTAGTGCAAGTCCTCAGAGGGGGACAAAGCAGACAACCTCATCCCCTCTCCCAGCAGGACTTCCATGCCCATTCTCACACTGTGGCGCCTGCCCTGGATCCATCCGCTCAACTCACACTCTAAGGACAGCATTTTGGCGAATTCCTGTATGTCCCTGGTGAAGCTGCTTCGAAAAACCCGAAATATATTCTGCAGGTGGACCCACTGCTGGCTGCTGAAGGTGCCCTGGGCCCAGGGCTTCACAAAGCTGATGGTGTCCGAGGCATTGCTCCAAGTGTGCGTCTGCAGCTCCCCCAACAGGATCAAGGCGTCAGTGCGCATCCAGCTGCTGTTAGTGAAGGAGGAGATCTGGAGATAGCGGAAGAGGACACTCCTTCGCAGGACTGGGGACAAGAAGACTGGGTGAGTACAGCGAATGGCCTACGGAGCAGAGAGCACAGGGAGAGGAAGGAAGCAACAGCAGATGGTGAGTCCAGGAGGGTCAGCTGGGGTGCGCCTACCCTGACATGCACCTCGCCGGGAGCCAGAGGCCCCTCGACCTTCATTGCATCCGTGTGCTCCAGGCTCCATGTCCCAAGGCACATCCCAGCGCCAAGGAGAGCCTTTCCCTAAGTATCAAGCCCCCTCCCTCTCTCCGCACTTTAGCAACAGTACGCGGGCACCCTGGGCCACTCACCCTCAGAACTTCCCCACACCTGGGGGAGCACCCACAGCAGCAGGAACCACCCGCACCCCATCCGCGGAGTCTGGGGACCTTCCTGGCTACGAACATAACAAAGACCTGCCCTCCACGCCCCGCCCCCAGCAGGCTCTTGTGCTCCCCTTTTGGCAGGGAGCCCAGCCAAGTCCCAATGGCAGCTCCTGCTGGGGTGCGCTTTACTCTTCTGCTAGACTGTCCCCCTCGCCCCTAGCGGTTCCATCTGCAAGGAGTCCCGAAGCTGTGGCTCACTTCACTGGGTTTCACAACCAACTTACTTTCCCAGGATCTGTCCCGAAGCAGAAGGAATAGGAAACAGCACATGCGACACTTTGCAACTGTTATCTGTTAAAATAGGACATTAGGTGTATCTGTGTTAGGTCTGCGACAGTGCCAAAAAAAGAATAGGAAATAATTTGCTTTAGCCATTGGGGTCGCCAGGTGGAGAGACTATGGGTGATTTTGATTTATTTTGCATTTTTAAGTCTTCAAAAAAAATCTACAAGTGAATCTATTACATTGTCCATAAACTACCACATTAAAACCAATTTTCTCAGTGTCCTGAGGTAGGATAGAAGACAGGATAGGTAGAAAGGAGACAGGGGATAAAAATCAAGAGTGGCCTGGATTTAAGGTTCAGATTTAAAAATCCACTTTCATATGGACTAAAAGTGCAGGTTTCAAAGTCTCTTTCTCGTACTCTGATTACAAACAGCACTGTTCCAGCAGTTGTTAGTCCTCACCCACAGGACCTTAAATAACTTCTTTCCTGACCTGGACCCACAAGAAAAAAATGGGTCTGAGAAATGCCTTTGCTCAACAAGTAGATATTCTTACTACTCATACATTGAGGCTGATACATCTTTATGTCATACTCTGCATCAAACCTTCAATGTTACACCAGTGTAGTAATGTTTAAATTCACAAGCAGAACAATGAAAACTCCCCAGGGGTACATTATAAGCCATTTTTCATCAAAAATAAATCAGAGAAGGAAATGACCCTACTGGGTAATTGTTAACCCATCCAATCACAGTCACAAAGCAGGACTAAACCACCCTCTTAGATCATGTCCCTGTACTACAAAGAGTTCACTCAGTTTGGGGAACTTGGTCCCATTTGCTCCCCTCACCAGCTTCCTGTTATAACCACTCTGACCTCAGGCTCTGAGGCCAATTTCTCAGGGGAGTCTTCTGAGCCTCCCAGACTGTGAACAAAGGCAGAAGAACTAGGCCAGCCCCACCTACACTCCTGGCTCCTAACTTGCTTTGCAAACCTTTCTCCCAGCACCTGCAGAGCCTGTCATTATAGAAACATTCATGTGTGTGTCTCTTTCTGTGTGCTCTTGTCAATCAGCTGGAGGGACAGCACATGTAAGGATCACATCTCTGGCTCCACTTCCTCTGATCTGACAACATGAATACTTCCCTTCCTCCCATAACCCCTGTGTCCCTAGAGAACAAGCATCTGCCCCTCACCCTGAGCTGGGATCCTGGAGATCGCCCTAACCCACCTAGCTTACTATAACGAATGTCCCAAAACAGTTTGAAAGAACACAGAAAACTTATCTGTGTAACAAATAAAGGTCTAAGTGATTAAATGAGAGTTCAAAATAGCCCAAATAGTGGATGGGAAGGAAACTGTGGGCATAGACGTGAAAAGAAAAGTACTGGGGATGGAATTGGAGCAAATTAAATTCCATTTTTGTATAATTATGTCAAAATAAATCCCAATGTTATGTATAACAGTAATGCAGTAAAAAAAAGATTAGAAAAGAAATGGATCTTGCCACAGTGAGAATTAATCTGTGTATTAGAGGTGATTTCATATAACTGCAAAGAATAATGAACAGCTGAGCTGGGTATCCAGCTAGAAAATGAAGCAATGTTGGAAGCTCTGTCCACATGGAGCTGCCTGTACCTCCCTCTGCCATTGATTTCATTGTATATTCTGAGGCCCTGCAGAAAGCATCTCTAAAGAGGTCACGGCAAGGGCAGAACTTTCCCTCTGGTCTTAGCCGAACCTCTACTAGTATCACTGGACTTGGTACTTCCCTCCATTCCTCCTTTCACTTTACTTTGTTCAACTTCCTTTACTCTATTTGTCTTATCTATTGTTTAATTTTTAATTAGTGCATTATAGGTATACATAAAGGTGAAATTCACTGTGGTACGTTTATTCCTGTACACAGGACCATTGATCAGTTTCATTCCACCATTCTTCACATTTTCTACCTCTCCTCCCTCTCCTCCATCCCCTATCTCTACTCTATTGATCTCTCTTCTGTTCTGATGGGATCCCCCTCCCCTTTTTTCCCTCTTATTTTGGTCTAGCTTCTGCATAAGAAAGAAAACACTTGATCCTTGACTGTATGGGTCTGGCTTATTTCACTTAGCCTGATCCTCTCTGGTTCCAGTCATTTACTGGCGAAAGCTATGACTTCATTCTTCTTTATGGCTGAGTAAAGCTCCATTGTGTACATATGCCATGCTTTCTTTAACCATTCATCTGCTGACAGGCTTCTGGGCTGGTTCCATAACCTGACTGGTGTGGATTGCACTGCTATAAACATCGATGTGGCTGTATCGTGATGGTAGGATGACCTTAGATCTTTATGATATATGCCAAGGAGCTGTTGAGATCTATTTCTTAGTTTTATATTGTACTCCTTAATTTGTCTATTGGTCCATTCCTATCTTATTATCATAATGATTTGATATGGTGGCCTCTGGGTTCAGTATTTTGAATGGCAGACACTCTGACCCCATCATTACATTTTTTTCCCTATTTTGGAGCGATTTTAATCCTACTTAAAATTTTATTATTTGAAAAACTGGGGAGCTAATTAATATTTTGTTACACTAAGTGTCCTAAACCAAGAAAGGAATACATCTTTTCACTAATTCAAAATGGTTTTTATCCTTCAGAGAGCTATACAGTTTTTGATATGTGTCTGTATTATTCATGTGAAATATATTCCTAAGTATCCTCTTTCTCTTTTTGGATTTTTTTTTTAATTTTTTATTGTGGGTTGTTCAAAACATTACAAATTTCTTGACATATCATATTCCACACTTTGATTCAAGTGGGTTATGAACTCCCACCTTCACCCCATACACAGATTGCAGATTCACATCAGTTACACATCCATTGATTTACAAATTGCCATACTAGTGTCTGTTGTGCTCCGCTGCCTTTCCCATCATCCACCCTCCCCTCTTTTTGGATTTTGAATACATCATTTATTCCCATTTCCATTTCAAGTTGTAGTTAACACATGCTTTCTTTTGTATGTGTTTATCTTTTTTACTTGAATAAACACCTTTATAAATTCTAGCAAATGTTCTTTCAAACAGGGTTGTTTGTTTGTTCTAGGTACATAGTCACATCATTGGTGAAATGGATTGAGTTCATCTCTTCCCCTGTGGGTCCCTCTGTCTCAGCAGCTACTCTTGGTCCAACAGAAGGGTGCACCTCCTGAATCCCCAGAGACTTCAAAGTCCAGAGGAAATTTCAACTGTCACATTCTGTGCCAGCTGATGACCTTGTTTAGGATTAGGCCACAAAAACTGGTTTTTTTCCTATTTTTAGTTATACATGACAGTAGAATGTATTTGGCAGAATATACATACATAGAGTGTAACTTATTCTATTTAGGTTTACATCCTTGTGATCATATACAGTGTGCAAATACAATGCTAGGAAAGTTATGACCAATTAATTCTACTCTTTCCAATTCCCCTCTCCCCTCCCTTCCCTTCATTTCCCTTTGTCTAAGCCAATGGACTTTAATTCTTCTCCTCCCCACGCTCTCTTGTTGTGGGTTAGTATCCACCAATTAAAGACGACATTCAGTCTTTGGTTTGGGGGGATTGGCATATTTCACTTAGCATGATATTCTCTAATCAATTACCATCAATTTACCAGAAAATGCCATAATTTCATTTTCTTTGTGTCTGAATAATTTATATATATATATATCACATTTTCTTTAATCTTTCATCTGTTGAAGGACACCTAGGTTGTTTCCATAGCTTAGCTATTGTGAGTTGAGATACTATCTGGATGTGACAGTGTCCTTGTAGTATCCTGTTTTTAAGTCCTTTGGGTATATACCAAGGAATGGTATAACTGGGTCAAATGGTGGTTCCATTCCAAGTTTTCTGAGGAATCTCCATACTGCTTTACATAATGGTTTCACCAATTTGCAATCCCACCAACAATGTCCCCCACATCCTCCCAACACTAATTGTTCTTATAACTGCCTTTTCTGACTGGAGTGAGATGGAATCTCAGTGTAGTTTTAATTTGCATTTCTCTAATTGCTAGAGATGTGGAACTTTTTCTCATATATGTTTTGGAAATTCATATCTTTTCTTTGGTGAAGGATGTGTTCAGTTCTTTTACCCATTGATTGAGTTATTTACGTTTCTGGTGTTAATCTTTTGTGAGTTCTTTGTATATCCTGGAAATTATTGCTTTATCTGTGGTATTGGTGGTGAAGATTTATCCCAATATGTAGGATCTCTGTACACATTCTTGATTCTTTTCTTTGCTGTGAAGAACCTTTTCAGTTTGATACCATCCCATTTATTGATTCTCTATTTTATTACTTGCACTTTAGGGGTCTTGTGGAGGAATTTGATTCCCAGGCTGACATGTGACAGTTGGGCCTACTTGTTCTAAAAGTAAGTGCAGGGTCTTGGGTCTAATGCCTAGTTCCTTTATACACTTAGAGTTGAGTTTTTTTTCAGGGTGAGATACAGGGGTTCAATTTTAGTTTTCCCAGTACCATTTGTTGAAGAGGCCATCTTTTCTCCAATGTACATTTGTGGCACCTTTGTCTTGTATGACACAACTCTACTTATGTGGGTGTGTCTCTGTGTCTTCTATTCTGTTCCACTGGTCTTCATGTCTTTCTTGGTGCCAATACCATGCTGTATTTGTTACCATCACTCTGTAGTATAATTTAATGTCTGCTATTGTGAAGCCTCCAGCATCACTTTTTGCGCTAAGGATTGCTTTGGCTATTCTGGGTAT